GCGTCTGTGTGAGTGTATGTATGCCTATGCGCATCTATTCGTGTCTGTGTAAGCATTTTCGCAGTCAACCAAACAGCAACATCAACAACAGCCGCGGGCAGCGCTTGAGCAGCGCTGCAGCAGCGCTGCATCAGCAAATATATTTATGGCTATAACTTCTTGTTAAATCGGTCTATCATAATGAAATTTGGCATACGGACACATAATAACCAACTGGGGGTATTTCCAAAATTTTAGTTCGAAATTCCAAGAATTACGGGAGTTACGATTTGCGGGGTAGAGGGGAGAGGGAGGGGAATTCCAAAATATACATTTTCTGCGTATTCACATAAGGCATCTGGGACTAAAATTTGGTGTTCCTAGGTCTTATAGTCTCCGAGATATAGGCGATTATACGAATGGAAAATCGGGAAAACCCCCATAGGGGGGAAGTGGGGGGGAAAATCAAAAAAATAAAACAACTCGTATAGAATACACACATAACGCATCTTTGTGCAAAATTTGGTGTCTCTATCTCTTATAGTCTCTGAGATCCAGGTGTTCATACGGACGGACAGACGGACAGACGGACAGACAGACAGACAGGGCTAGATCGACTCGTCTCGTCATGCTGATCAAGAATATATATACTTTGTGGGGTCTGCCACGCCTCCTTCTGCCTGTTACATTTTTCAGCTCCCGCAAACCTAATATACTCTTGTACATTTCATGTACAGAGTATAAAAAGAGTTCCTTATCTTTTAGGTTAATTTACTTTTTATTTGTTCGTTTTCGTTTTAATTTCAGTATTTCTATTCATTATTTATTTTGAAATGTACGTCTGTTTAAAGGTGTGCTTTGATTTTAGCGTTAAATTGCATTTCTCTTGTGATTGTTGATTGACACAAAAGTAGACTATTATGTATAAATTATGTGTGCAAAGTTTGGTTAATGTAGCTTTTGAAATGTGGACGGTATTGACGAAATTCTGTAGCGGGGGAAGGGGGGAAAATTCCAAAAAATAAAATAGACTCGTCCTTTCTCGGACCTAGGAGAATCTGGATACCAACTTTGGTTATTCTGGCTTTTATAGTTTCTGAGATCCTTGCGTTCATCCAGACGAACGGACAGTCGGACGGGCGGACATGTCTAGATCGATTTCTTTCGTCATGCTGATTCAGAATATATATACTTTATAGGGTCGGAGATGCTTCCTTCTGCATGTTATATTCTTTGCACAAGCCTAATATACCCTTTTTACCCTACGGGTACAGGGTATAAAAACACAAACTTATTTTATGTCTGCGTACCAAGTTAGGCGACAATTCTATTTGCATTAAAAATATACCTCAGGGAGAGAGTTTTTCTAATTTGAATATAAAAGTTGCCAACATACATATGTAAGGAATTCTCAACTCCAAAGGCGTGAATGCAACTCTGTGTGCGAGGAGGGGGAAGGTCTAGCACGTTCGCACCTCTTGAGGGGGTAGTAGCAGTAGCGGCCCTAAGCTTGTTGGCAATGCATAAGCTGCAAAGCGGACTATTAGATTAAAACTTGCATAATTAATCATTTCATTTAAGAACTTTGCAGGGGGCAGCAGCCTCCACACATCTGAGGCACTTTTTCGTTGTCGTTGTCGTTGTCGTCGTCATCCTCATCGTCATCTTCTACTTCTTCTCTGGCCTCCCCCTCTCTGTACACAGGCCAGCAATGTTCTTTGCTTTCAAGTGCACACAAAGTAAGAAGAAGCATGAAGAAGAAGGAAAAAATAAAATAAGAAGAAAAAAGCTGTTCATCAACTTTTTCACACCCACAACTGCAGCAACGCAGGCAACGGCTGAAGCAGAAGCAGAAGCAGAAGCAACAACAATAATATCAGTTTAAGCTTCAAGCTTTGGCTTCGGCTTTAGCAAACGCGTCATAGTCTACGTCTCTCTCGCCTTTTCCGTTCTCTTGCGTTGGCTCCCCCCTCCCCATCCCGTTTATTGTCTTTGAGTGCAAACTTTGTAATAGTTATAGTTAAAAGCAACAGCGACGACCCACGCGAAATAAAACATCCCCGCCCCACGCCCCAGGCCACACACGCTCACTCTCTCTCCCTCTCTCTTTCTGCTGTCGCTCATATTGCTGTGCAACATGGTACCAAAGAGCGAAGGTATGGCCATTAAAAAGTGCAACTATGCTGCTCTCACTGCTTAGGTGCAAACGTCAAAGACATTTTAAAGGTAGTGGAAAAGCTTTGTGTGAAGAGGATAAAATATCTGATCAAATGCGGGGGTTGTTTAAATGTTGATGGTACTCTTTAATTACTCTTTTTGAGTTTAGTGGGCGACGATCACATTTAAGTTCCCAGAATTTAGCAAACATTCCGATTGGAATTTGATATAGGATGTCGTTAGTGAGCGACGATCTGAAGAATGTGGATAGCTCTATAGCAAACATTCAGATTCGAATTTGTATATACTATACATAAATCGTTATGTCGTTTTGTGCGACTTTTTTGTTCAACCATTTTACATATATCTTTCTTTAAAACAAAGCTTATTGTACTATTTTATAAGTTAATTCGTCAAGTTTGCCTGAGGCTGCACAAAAAGTTTACAAATTCGATAACAGCTTTGCCGGATTGCGGTCAGAAAGCAGTCGAAATTTGCGCTCTAAAGGTGGCAGCACAATTTTTTTTTTCAATCTTTATTCCTTATTTAAGATCTATCATAAGGAGGACAATTATTAAATTATATGAAATCAACTTGCTTCTCACATTTTAGGGCGTCCTTTGAATGTGGATGCCTAATAATTTGCGCCGAGTCAAAAGTTGTTGTCCCACACCAAATGGTGATATTTTCAAACTGAATTTTATGTGGCTTTTCAGTGACGTGGAGCGTTTTGTGACGTCACAGCAGGGAAACACCGACTAACGGAACTGCGTAATGCCATACCTTTCAGATAATGTGTTTCGCACATCGAGTCGCACTTTGGTGTTTCTCTTGTTTCGCTGGTCGCGAGCATTTTTATGTGCACTCTAAATGGGAATAATTAATGTGATTAACTGTTAATGCATTGGATTATGGTTGGTTGCGGCACAGTTTTACAGCCACTGCAATGCGTGGTTCGTGGCCGTTGTTCTGGGCGTTCCGGCCAACGTACAAAGCGTCGTAACTGTTTGTAATTACGTACAACAACAGAACGAACGGGCGCGCATACCGGAAACGTTGCCATAGACGCTCAATAATGAACAACGCCAAACAATGATGAATGTACACACACACACACACACACACACAGACACACACATAGGTACACAGATACTTGCATACATACATATGTATGTACAGGTACGTAATGGTTTTTACCTGTCGGGCATAACAACAACAGCAATGTAGCAGCAACGGCGCAACAACAAATATAAAGACAGCAATAACCACAATGCGTGCCAGTTGAACGTGAGCGACACGCAGCCACCGCAACCGCCGAGACTGCCACCGCCACCTACACCGACACAACCACCAACAACAGTACAACAACACGCACGCACTCGTCTGTGTCGGGCATGAGCGGTCAAGTGAGTCTCAAACTGTGTACGATTGGCATGCAACTCATGGCTACACATTTTATAACTCACCAACGACTAAATGCATTATTTGCATACAAAAAGGAACATACTTGTATATAGTATATATAATGCAAGACTCTTCCGACACATACATATGCATGTACATAAATGCAAAACCTATCCGTATATCATCGAGTTGCAATCATTCAATAATCCTTTCTAAGCGTTATAATTCGAATAGTGTTATTTCTCCCGAAGTAGAAATGATTAAAGGTGCATACATATATATGTATGTTCATATATCTTGTATCTTAATCAGCATGACACAAGAATAATCCAAATCGAGTTGTCCGTCTGTCTGTTTCAATCACCAGCGTGCTCCCACAGCTTTCGAGCAATCGCGTTAAGCCGTCGCGACGCGACTTCTTTTTGACGCACACAGACAATATAACAAGACCGACAATGTCAGATCAGTAAATCATATAAGCCGCTGTCATAGAAACGATCTGATTTACAAACAGTTTTTGTATCAACAACTTGTTTTCATTTCAAAAGATATGTGAATCAAATTGCCTTTTGGAAAGGTTGTACTCATATCTGACGGTTTAGCATCATTTGTGGGTCGCAAATGGGGACAATGGAAGATCAAATAATGCTTTCTAATAAATGAAAACAGAGTACGAAAATAGTAGGGAGTATATTTTAAGCTCGCTACTTTAGGCGATCAGATTAATTTATTCACACTTAGCTAAAATAGGCGCTTATTAGCTTTTGGTCCAAGCTACTCCCACAAGAAGATTTAAATGGAAAAATTTAACAAGACATAAGAAGATGATACCTTTTTATTTATTTGGATGCAATCATTCTTCTTAATCGCCCTAAAATATCGTTTTAAACATAAAACAAATATTATTTGCAATTAAGTGGACGATTTGCAAATCTTTTTATGAAATCTCCTCAATTAAAGAAAGGCATATTCAATTATTTTTACCAAAATATAAACTTTATCGAAGCTTCAGTTTTTTCATAGAGTTTCATAAATCAAGCAATTCATATGTATATACACCTAATTCTGTTTTTACACGGTCGATTGGTTCCAGAAACAACCGTGTAAAAAAGACATTGATCATATGCAAAAATAGGTGATTGGTTCCTTATCTCTAAAGAAATATATGACAAATTTTTAATTTTGAAACCGTGAAAAAAAGACCGTGTAAAAACAGGATTAGATGTAGTATATATTATATATAAGCAGATATATCAGTCTGCGAGCAATTTCCACCCACTTTTTGTCACCGGCGGTGTTGGTCAAAAAATAAACGTTGTATCGACAAACGCCGACAGTTTTGGAGTCACTGTGCGATTTATGTAGCCTAACACGTAGGCGCGCGCAATAAAAGTGCGACTTAAGCGATGGACAGCAACCAGATATATAAATAGGTTGAAAAAGTAAAAGCGTCAACTCACCTGATATTTCTTAATGCTGTCCAGCTGCTCTAGAGTGGGTTCCACGATCTGTGCTATCTGCTGGTGGGGTGCCACGGCTCCCTGACTGCTCCCATTGCCCACGACACGATGACGATCGGGGAGCTGCGGCGCCGGGGCGCAGTTGATGAGGCGTCCGTCCTTTTCGATCCGCAGATGATCACGCGGCGGGGGAACGGGCTTGGCATTGCCATTGAGCTGCACACGCACACACGGCAAGGCAGGGGAACGAGAGAGAGAGACAGAGAGAGAGAGAGAGAGCGAGAGATTGCATTGAGTTTTGCAGTTAATTTTTGTTTGTGTATGTGTGTGTGAGTTTATTATGTATGTATGTTTGTGAGTTATGCACATTTATGTATACCCGATTCATATATTCGTATGCATGTTTCATGTACTTGTATATGCGTGTGTATGAAATGTTTGTATTTCGTTTGATATTGTCGTTATTGCTGTTGTTGTTATTGTACCGGCACTGCCAACTTTACAATTACATGTTGTGCTGTACGCTCCGGCCACTCAGCCATAAATAAACGGACCGCAAATAGATGGCGCTAATTTGAAATTGTTGCGACCGTCCCAACGTCCCCGCCTCTTTTTGCCCCTTTCGCACAAATAGTTGTTACAAAAGCTTCTGCCTTTGTAAAACTTTTCTAATATGAATTTTCATTTAAATATTTGCGTAGGTTGGTTGCCCGTACCCGTTACCACTCACAAAGTGCTGCCCGACAGAGGGCGCTGCACAATGAAATACCGTTATCACTAACAGGGATGTGCAAAATTTGAATGAGTTTTATGGTGCATGTAACAGGCACGACATCGATACATCGACAACATTTGCTATAAAACTTTATTTCTATTACCTGCCAAAGAAGATCAAGAGAGTAAAATACTTCCGATAAACAATAAAATAATTATAGTTCGCAGGGCGCATAGTAACAAAATATATCACTCTTTTGAAAAGTTCGATTAATCTTCTTGAAGTAATAAAAAAAATATCCCTCTGTTGAAAAGTTCGATTAATCTTCTTAAAGCGATGGACATAACATTTTAAAATGTCTGCAACGAATTATAATTTTTATCAGCTGATTTTTTCAGTTGCTTAGCAAGAACGTAAGGAACCTATGATATGTTTAAATATAGATATAATAATTGGTCCTAAAGTAGTTTAGTAGTAGTGTCAATTACTTTAAGATCCCTCACTGAGAATAAAAAGCATTATCCAAACATTGTGCGATAGTTATTCAAAGTAAAAATATCTTCGTTTTAAAAAAGAAACTCGAGAAAAGATCATCTGTATACCCAGCAGGACTTTAATTGATGAGAATTGAATGTTAGTAGTAGTTGTGGATAGAATTTTAGGGAATAAAGTCAGCTCGATTGGATTCCCCTTTATTCTAGTCTTGATAAGTCTTCTTAAGGGTCGTACTTAGTTAGCCAAGTGAATTAACTCTGCGTGCATACTTTAAAAGGATAGCCACATGAGAAGAATATCATAATAAGCTCAATTTTATGACCCTTTTAGACGTAGACATGCAGGAAATTGTTTTATATTTTCTAGGTAGGTTTTTTTCATTTGTCACGCACCCATCTCTAGTTTCGAATCCCTTGACGCTGCGGCTCTGGTGCGCTGTCGAGTTTGCTGCACAATAAATAAAAAGCAGTAACTCTTTGATTCGTTTGATTGGTTCGTTCTGTGCACATTGTCATTTGTTTATTGTTTGCTCGACCACCCATGGAACCTGGGCCCCAATATTCATCCCCTTACCACCCCCATGCAGCCCATTTGTCCATTTGTCCTTTGCACATACCCTTTGGCAATGCCTGTTTGATATGAAAACATTTTTTTGTTTGCTGTTCGCTCGTTCTTTGTTTGCCATTCGAAAATTAATCGAGAGCACTTTCATATAAATTACGCATATTCTTTTGCCTGCCATGTTGCGTAACACACTCACACACACACACACATGCATACACAATACACACATGAGTGTGTTTGTGAACGGATGAACTGGCGCAAATGATTTAATAAGCGACCCGACCAAGCCAGGCAAAAAGCGTAAAAAATGGTAGCAAAAACTGCAATAAGACTGTGCGTGTAAATCTATATGTGTATGTGTATGGCTGTGTGTCTGTGTGTGTGAGTGTGGCATAAATTTCATTTAATTTGCCAAGCAGCTTTAGATTATGGTCGCCATATGACGAGGCCACCACCACCACCACCACCGCCAATGCTCTGACTTTTTAAATGCCATTTATGAATTTTTCATTGGCCGCCAACGGCTTTTTATGTTAAAGTCAAATGGTGGGCGGGCCAAGGGCGTGGATGGCTTTTAAAATGTCAAAAGTTAAGCCTAAGCCTATATCCACTATACATTTACATTTCCTAAATCAACGCAACTGGCCAGGAGTGGGAATTTTTCGAAGCCAAAATAGTCAAAGGTGGCGGCAATGGCGACGATCTCTCAATACAACTAGGAAGGAAGGAAGGAATCAAAGGCAATGAAAAAACCTATTACCATATATACACACACACACACACACATACATATATACCATATACCAAATGTGTATATGTATGCATGTATGTATATAGCATATATATATGTGTGTGTGTGTGTGGCTGTTGAAAAGGAGAAATAATTAGTGCAGTGCGTCGAATGTGAAAAAACCTCCGGAAATTGCAGCTATAAACGCTCCAAGTTGTTGTTTTTCGCACACACACACACACACAGTTCATACATTTAAATATGCGTACACTGAGCGGAATAGGGCTTAACAAAATCAAGTAGCAAGTTTCTTGCTTACTCATGCAATTAACGTAAATGATGGTCGTTAAAACGTTGATTATCAAGACAGCTTTGCAGCTCCACAGGTTTTAAGAAGCCTTTAAAATAGTTTATTAATAATACCGCCTGGTAATATCAAAGTGGACAGAGTGTGCGAGCTTCATGGATGTTCAACTGTTTTTATAAAGTCAAGAGCTATGCTTAATTTAAGCGAAAAATGTACTTGATTGGAGAGTATGGTTTCGAATTGAGGGTTTTTAGGACGGGCTTGATTTTGCCGAGAAATGTATTAAATATACACTGAACTAATCGAACACTGAACTATTATTACACAGATGTGTTTGAAAGTGGAGTGTTTTGAATATACGAGTACACTTATCAATTTTAATAAAATACATTCTTCTTTAAAAGAGTAAGATAAATATTTTCGCAGGGAATGCTTTACAAAGGTTTGAGCTTAGAAAACATTTCATTCCAGATAGATGAGATCTGAGTAAATAAAATAATTTATACTGTGAATTGAAAAGCGAATTGGCCAAATGGATTGCGGCTCTTTTGAATCCAATTCATATATAGTTTATGGTAGACATTTTAAAAACTAAGAAATACTTGCTTCACTGTCTCTATATGATTCTCCCATTCTTGTTCTGTGTTATAATTATAACGAACTCTACCATAATATCTCGTCTAATCAATATCCTAGTACTTTTAGCGGGAACTTCTCCTTACATATAACTAACCAGCATTAAATACACATACACTAATGCAATACTAATTCCTTGCTGAGTCGGGGCACAGCAGTCTAAAATACCTTTTTCAAATTATTGCAACATTTCTTTAATATTAAATTCTATTAAATTAATGTCATACGATTTTCTCCTTTGTTGTTTAAGATGGCAGCATTATTTGCTATTGATTTTCAAATAAAAATAATAATGAAATAAATGTAGCTTAATTCAATTAATTAGTTTATCTAGGAAATTTTTGGTGGACTAGATTTTGTTAAAATTTTTTTTTTTTTTATTGACAAACAGAGCTGTGGAGGTGAGAAAAAGAAAAGAAAAAAAACAATACAATACAGAACTTGTACTATAAGATAAAACTAAAGTAAAGAAAGCCTATAGAGCTAACAAAAATGTCTAAAATGTTCAATCACCACCAATAAATAGATGCTATACCCTTTTTGCTCGCTGTGTATGTGACCCCCGATCCCCGATCCCCGCCAGCAACCTCCGCTCTTGAAGTAACGTGAGAATTTTCGTTTTTGCTATGATGTCGACGCTGACAGCGGAAAAACTGATGAAATGCAAATTACTGCAGATTTATGTCATAAAAAAGGCAACGACCATGATGACGATGCCATGGCAAAGGCAAGGAGGCAGCAAGCACAAGGCGAAGGGAGAACCCGACCAGGGACGGTAAAGGGGAGGGGAGTGGAGCGGAGGAAGTGGAGGAAACATTGCAGCAATGTGGATGGAAGTTAGTGTAAGTGTGTGGTAGCTAATAAAATGTTCTGCCAAGATGTTTGGCAGACTGCTCTACTTTTACTTCAACTTCTTGTTGCTGTTGTTGCTGTTGTTGTTATTCCTGTTAGCCAACTTCTCTCATATTCCCCCATTCAGCATGTAACTCCCATAAGCTGGTGAAAGCTGTTGTTGCGCCATATGCTCAGAAGAGAGCGATTTTAAATTAAGTTCGTGTGCCAAATTTGAATTCGCCAAATGGGTTAAGAGCGTAGCAGCAGGAGGAGGAGAAGCACCTCCTTATTTTGCCATTTGCCAGAAATTGGCAGCAGCACTCACTTATACGAACATTTACGAGCTTTAAGGTTTCTCCAAATGGCAGGCGAGAGGCAGAAGTAATTACTGCAAAGAGATTTGTGGCCATGCTTCACTAATTTCATAATCGATTGCCATTGACAAATTCATTCAATTTGAACATTTGTTGAGCTTTTGACTTTTCAACATTCAATCGGCGGTCAAACAGGCAAATAATTTGCACACAAATTCAAGGAAAGTCAAGTATTAAACTTATTTGCTGAAGCGATGAGAACTCTTTCTCTATAATATTTTTTCTTCGTTTTAACTTAAACAACCCTTTTTTTAAGTACAAGTTTTAAAGTTACGAAAGAAAACTTTAAACAAATTGCACTAACAAAAATAAAAGAAATATTTATTTTCTTTTCAGAAAAGAATTCAACTAAATACATGCTCAACTAAAATAACTGAAGAAAGATTTATTTTCTGCCCATTTTTCCAACTATGGAATCTGCGTAAGTACCCAACATATTCTTCTGATTCTGAATGTAAGCCAGCTATTATATTTCCTAAAACATGAAATTTATTTTTAGCTTATTTTTTCTATGAAGGGAATCTGATATAAATTCATTTCATTCGAAACGAAATCAAGCCAATGCATTAGATTTTCCTATATATAAAACGAGCCACACGATTGTTTCCAGGAAAGGAATCTATGTACATAGTATAATCATCTGATTTCAAACCAAATCGACGTGCTATTTAAGTATGAATATAAAATGAACATTTTAGGTCCGTAGCTTTTAAAGCCTGCTCATTGTACGAACCATAAATTATTGGCTTTTGGGTATCAATTTTTTGCACTTTTGGGCTACAAGTGAGGAAAACTGTGAATTCTTAAATATTTCTGTTAAAATAAATTCTTTTTAACTCATGGCGAAACCCACAATAAATTATTAAAGTTTTCTTTTATACAAAGCTACCCGCAAACCGACCGATTTAAGTGGAATTAAGTTTCTATCGATAAGCATTGAGGTTATGTGCGCGTTGCGTTTCCCCATTGATAAGTAGAATTATATAAATGATTCGTAATTATAAATGTTTCACTTAGTTGATGAAAAGTTTGAAGTTCTAGAGCCCTGCTTTTAATGAGAAATTCGCTTGCGGAGGAATTCAAAGTTCAAAGATAATTCAAAAATGTGTTGGAATATTTTAAATAGTCCCAACATAGTACCATAAATTTGATGCTTTTAAGTAAAATTAGGGTAAAAATTGGCTTCGTAGCTGTTAGTACTTCAACTTTCCTGCCAACTCTTCAAGAAGGTGCTGCCAACTTATCGATGTGGTGCTGCCATGTTGCACAGAATGTTAATGTTTTGTGGGCTATTGAAATAGAAATCAAAGCAGAATTCAAATTGTTGATCCGGAAATAAGACCCCCTGCCCCTTAATTGTATATAAAATTGCTGTAAAGAAATGACTTAAGCGAATTGAAGTGAACTTATTATTATTTTAACTAGGACAGGATAGGGAACAATATTGAAAGAATGAAAATAGAGTAGATACAACGACTACGATAGCTGAAGAATAGAGGACATTCGACATTTGCCAGCGATTATTGGCGGCAGGAAAAGTTGCGGGAACACTGGACCTTTTGAGGACCAGGGAAAGTCGGAGAGAGGCTGAGAGAGCAAGAGGCAAGAGCATAAACAATTTTTGGATACCTCATCGGTGATGCGCCTGGCATCGATGGCCAGGGGCAGTGTACATGTGTTGTTGTTGTCGCCCAGCGACAAAGTCGTCTGCACCGTCGAGGCCGATGATGAGACGTTCGATAGCAGCGAGGCGCGCGACGATAGATGCGCCGGCGGTGGATAGCGCGGCGGCGTTTTCACCATTTCGATGAAGCTATCGGGCACATCGACGGGCAACTCCCGATGCTTGGCCAGCGGCGGCAGCAGCGTAGCAACGCCGGCAGCCAAAGAGTTGTTCGCCTTAACGGACACATGTGGCTCGTAGACGGGTGGTGCTAGGCTCAGATCATCGGGCACGGTAGAGGTGCCTGAGGCGCCACTGCCACTGCCACTGGCCGTGGTTGTTGTTGTGGTGGCAGTCATGGAGGAGGCAGCGCTGGGTATGTTGCTGCTACCGGTGCCACTGCCGCTGCTGCTGCTGTTGTTGCTATTGCTGGTGTGCATGGATGAGTTGCTGCTGCTTCGTGTGCTGTTCAGCGAATTGCTGTGGCTGCTACTATTGTGGTTGTGGTTGCGGTTGTGATTATTTCCCTTGCTGGGCGTAGCCTCAGCGCTGCTGCTGCTGTTGCTGTTGCCACTGTTGCCACTGTTGTTGCTATTGCTTGTCGTTTGCTGCTGCTGCAAATGACGATAGGCAATTGATTCGAACGACTCCAGTGTGTGCTTGCTCAGCACCTCATCGAATGTGCTCGATGATGGCGAGCTCGAGCCTTTCCTGTAGAGTCCATCGACCACGCACATGAATTCCAATTGTTGTTGCTGCTGCTGTTGCTCCTCTGTGTTGTTGTTGTTGTTGTTATTGTTGCCGCTGCTGCTGCTGCCACCGCTGCCGTTCGGATTGCTGCTCAATGTGACTTGCAATTTGTTGTTGCTGGGCGTTTGTTGCTGAGCCGTTTGTGAAGCTGTGGTTGTTGCTGCGGTGGCTGCTGTAACTGCGGTGGCTACAGCTGCTGCCACCGTCAATTGTTGTTGTTGTTGGTGTTGTAGCTGTTGCTGTTGTTGCTGTTCGTGTTGTTCCGATTGCAGGCAATTTTCATAGTTTTCAATTTGTTCCAATTTGGTTTGTTGTTTTTGATTATAGAAATTTTGTGTGGCCACATCGAGTGCAATTGGTTTTGTAGTGTCGGTGGTTGTTGTTGTAGTTGTTGTTTTTGATGGATGGTATGATTGTTGTTGTTGTTGTTGTTGTAGTAGTAGTAGTTGTTGTTGTTGTTGTTCATGTTGATGTGAAGAATGATATGCAACAATTAACAATTTGTTAGCATGATCATCGTTAATTTTAGTTTTTGTGCTGGTGGTTGTGGTTGTGGAAATGGTGGTGCTGGTGTAGGTGGTTTTGGTGTTGGTGGAGCTGGTTGTGGTTGTGGTGGTGGTGGTTGTGTGTCTTGTTTTATGTTTCTGTGTGCGTGTGTGTGGTTGTTGTTGTGATGATTGGATGTGCGATGGTTGTGTTTGGTTTGATGAAAAGAAAATGTGTGATATGAGTGAGTGAGGATTGTTGGCTGTGTTGTTGTTATTATTGTTGTTGTTAGCATTGGTTGTGGTTGTTGTTGTTGTTATTGTTATTGTTGTTGATATTAGGGGTAATTGTTAGCAACATTTGGATTAGCAATGAATATTACTGTTTGTGAGCATTATAAACAATTTCGTTGTTAGGACTAATGATGATTGTTTCCTATGTTGGTATTGGTGGTTCTAGGTGGTTGTTGTACTTGTGGTTGTTGTACTTGCTATGTATCGCTAAAGCGTCGCTAAGACTAGGCGATTTCCTCGACTTACCTGTGGTGGACGGGGTGGCGGATATCTGGGTGGTGTTTTATTGCGTGCTATAAACGTATCTGGACAGTCGACGGCCATCTCACGATGCGGACCTATGGAGGAGTGTGGCGAAAAGAAGAAGAAGAATAGTTAGTTAGCAGCCACATACATATGCAGAGCGATTATTAGACTCACCGTTATCTTGATTCACCGACAGCATGGTCAGCATTTCCTGATCAATCTCCCTTATATCACTCGAGTGCGTGCGGTAGTGCTGATGATGCTGGCTGCTTATGTAATCATCCGGCAGACATGGCTTCAGATCATCACCGTCAATGACAACAATGCTTGAGCCGGAACGCCGACGGGGCCTGAAAGAAGCAGAAGAGAAAAGAAATGGGGTTGTGGTTAAAACACTCATTCACATTATTTGAATATTTCATTAGGCCATTAGGCACAATTCCCAGAACGACACTTTTGAAGCAAAGCGCGATCGCAAACATTTGCTCTAATGCTGATAAAGTGGGGCAAAGGCAGGAAGTAAGCCCAGAGTAGTCGCAACTACAGATATGATGGTGAACAACTTAAATAGGAGAACATTTTTAAAGAGGTCGTCATCCACTATTTCACACAAAAAATGAAAGAAACCACGAAATTTTTTACAAAAACTGAACCATTGCTTTCACATACAAGTAATAGTGGTATAAAAGCTTTCCAAGTAATACTTTAGAACCATTGACATGAATTTGAAAAACTCCAAAACCTCCTTCTGTTTTTCGGCACTTAAATGTACAATAATGCGAGGCCTGACTGAGACTCATTCGGTCCTGTTGGTTGGCAGGGAAGCCAGTCTGTCTCTCCCAGTCATGGGCCCATCAGCTGTCAACGCTTCAAAGTTGTCGGCAGTTCTATTCCCTAGAAGTGAGTCCTACAACCGTCTCTGCCACACCCACTTGCCATAATGACACGCAGACATACGTGTACTTCATGTTCGAAATGCGACACAGTTGGGGGAAACACTCTGGGAAATCCTTGGGAATTTTCATTGCGTTTTCATGCAACATTGACAGCGTCGCTTCTTCCTGTCCGTCAGAGCTCCCGCTAGGCAATAAAGATACATTGGCCATATAAATATATACACGTATTTTTTGCTTGTTTGTGTACTTCTTGTTACATATATCGCCTTTTTCGATGCTTTGCGCGTTTTTCAAGCATATGGGTGTGCCACAGAAATAGCTAGAACTTAAAGCTGAATGCCAATTTCTTCCAAAAGTTGGCAGCCCAAGCACTCAAAAGTGATCTGTATTGTTTTGAAAAATATTTGTCATATTGTTTATTTTTATTTATGCAATTGAAGCTTAGTTTTATGCAAAATATTGCACAAACAGAACTTATTTTTAAACATTTCGCTCAGGTTGGCAGCACCACACGCATGATTTAACAGCATTTTTCAAAGAAAAAGGAAACGCTTTTTGTACAGTTTAATGCAAAATGTGTATGCCAATTGTTTTGAAAGTAGATATGGCTATACCCGTCTCTAAATCGGATCCCAAAATAAGCCCCTCATTCTGCTAAAAGTATCATAGTGAGACAATTATGTACTGCCCCATAAAATATTTAACGGAATTTGTAGAAAAAGAAAAGAAACTATTGTTGAGGTTGAAAGCTGAAGCAGGTGTGAGAAAATCCAGAACATTATTTTTATTATAATCTTTTAAGTCACTGTTAAGCTAACATATTTGCATAAAAGGTTAGTTTTCATTTAGTGAATGGTTGAACAAAGTTCAGTAATTCTTCCAAGAACCAAAGCTAATACTTTTACAGACAAATTTTTAAGTAAAGTTATTAAAAATCCACTTGAGGATTATTATTGTTGGAAGTTGGAGCACAATAATGATGTAACAGATTCGTTTGCAAATTCTTTCAAAACTTTTTAAAAACAGGCACTCTCTTCTGGTTAGGCTGAGCAGTATTTTTGATTTGAGGGCTACTATGATTTGAAGAATGAAAGATGAATACAGTTAATTACATTATGTATTACTAGAGAGCGGTAGGCTGCCCGTATTGGACAATGACTTTAACAGAAGCTTCAGCGATAAGAAAAGCTAGGCTAATCCTTCCTAACTGATCTAACATGGGCCTCTTCAGGGCCTCTAATCTATAGCTATATCACAAGCTCGATTGTTCTTTCGCGTAACAGCTATTCTCTTGACTAAATCAAACATAATACAAATTCAAATAACCAGCCGCTACTCCAGTAAGACTGGATGCTTAAAGAGCTGTCTTATTGCTTAGCAAGCCAAATTGCAGTGGTTTTGACAAACTGTCTGAAAAAGTTGCTCTTCTATTTCGGAATGCACCTTCTTTCAAATGTTAAACACAATGTGTTTGGCTTGCCCTTAAGCCCAACTTGTCTTTCCAACTTCTGTCCAATGAATTTGAATGAATGTGCAGCATAAAAGTACTCGCATGTTTTTTTGTATCCATACGTACATATATATCTGACTATTTGTTCACTTTTAGCCTTTTTTTTTCTTTTGAAAAAAAAAAGCCGATCTGCTGCCTGTTTTGGCAATCGAGGACTGCTCGCCCTACTGCCAGTTGCACTTACAGTTTGAGTGCCATTGGCGGCTGTTGTCTGTGCTCGGCGAAAACTTTTCTCCACAACACACACACAGACACACACACACATGTATAGCATATAGAAAAGGTAGAAGACGCACAAAGTTGCGGCCCGGCAGGGCGTCTCGTTATTATGCGCTTTTATTATTTCAAATAGTTGTCAAGGTGCCAGACGCAGCAGAGGCGGTGACGGTGCTTGTGAGGATGCGGGTGTGGGTTCGGGTGTGGGTGTGGGTGTAGGTGTAGGAGCGAGGACGGTCGGCGTCGTGGGTAATGGTAGAAAAACTTTTGTCAAACTTTGCGCAGCGTGAGGCGCATGCGGTGGCTACGGTGGTTACGGTGGTTACGGTGGTTACTTCCTCACGCTCACCTTCTGTTCGTGGCCAGCCCCCAATTTGCACTCTAATTTGTTCGACTTTGGGCTCAAAGGCTTAGCCAAAAGGCTAATTGCAATTTGGGCTGCGGGTCAGGCCCAAAAGGACTGCAATGCGTTGCCATTTTGTGGGCAAAAAGATTGAAGCAAAGTATATTTTTGGACTTACAGATGGATATACGAGAATTTGCAAGAATTGGAAAATGGATTCTTTCTAACAATGGAAATCTTTAGCCTATCTTTGACCTGGCACTGAAGAATATTGTATTATATATTTGAAAATCATGTTCCGAAACAATCAAATAATGGAAATAGGCATCAACCACTGAAATGAGACTTGAATTGGACCTAAAAATGTTTGAGATTTAATGTTGAGCCCAGAGGTGGGTATCAACTGAATAAAGACGTGCCTTCGGTTAAGGTATGTGCAATAAATTGCGAGTTTTAATATTTGTTTTGCACATTAGCTGAGCAAAAAAACAGTCTAGACAGTCACAAACACACCTGAAAAGTGCAGAAGGAGGGGCTAATTCTAACATATGGCTAGCAGAAGAAAACGTTTTATTAGCAGAATCATTATTCTCTTCTACATCATCTCTATAAGTCACTACAAATTATTAAACTTTTGCTGAGTTATCTTTAAGAATTATTTTTCTTTTCTGAATCATCTTGGAGAGCTATCAAAAGTCATCATCCTTGCCGGCATTATCTTTAAGATGATAAATCCCATGAAGATTTCCTAAGCAAGAGTCATCTTATTTGAATTAAATAGCTTAGCACTTTAATTTAATTTATGCATTAACTGCACAAAGAACTCAAGAAGCTGCGAACTATCATGCTTTTCTGAATCATCTTTAAGAACCACTATCTTGGAGAGCTATAAAAAATCATCATCCTTGCCGGTGTCATCTGTAAGAACCATGACGATTTCCTAAACCAGCAAGAGTCATCTTATTTCCTATTCATAAGTGGCTTGAAAATTGTCGGGGATTGGAATTGTAAATTTAGACTTCATATGAATTAAATAGCTTAGCACTTTAATTTCATTTAAGAAAGTAAGAACTCAAGACGTTCTAAGCAAACCAAACGAGAATTATCATGCTTTTCTGAATAATAATAATCTTAAAGAACCATTATTCCAACTTTAAGAGGACTTATCATCGTTTATACCCATAAAATAAAAACAGCGCAGCGTTAAAGATCATGACTGTGAAACAATGCTAGTTTAACAAATATCGATTGATGTGCTAAAAGACGACGACTACAATAACCGGAAAAAGTCGGAGATGATTTGAAATGAGAGGGAAAGAAAATCAAAAATGTCAATTAAATAGTGGAGGGTGGTGTCTTCTTTTTCTTTTGTTTTTAATAATTTTCTATTATTCAGCGAAAGGTTCGTTAATGTTGAAAAAATTGCGCTGATGGCTCTTCATGGCTGCTGTTGTTCTATATTTATAGAGAAATGAGAAAAACCAATGCACGTCATTGTCGACGAATTTCTCAGAACAGTTCAGCTCAGCACAGGGCAGGACAAGACAGGACAGGACAGGCCAGCCTGGCCAAGATGCAGACGATGACGGGCTCTGAGACAATTTAATTTGCGTAACAGCATCCCAAAGACGATGACGACGACGACGACGACAAGGAGAACGACATCGATGGCGATGGCAATGGCAATGGCGACGTAAATGAGTTGTGGGGGCGAGACGGGACGGGGCGGCGGAGAGACAATAAAGTGTAGAGGAAGAGGAAAAACAATAAATGAATTAAAATGCCTTTGGCGCTGACATGCGACAAGGGGCATAAAGTATGAGACGCACGCATACAAATGTGGGGAAGGTGGGTCGAGGGGGGTGGGGGCTGAGAGGCTGTGATGAGGCTAACAGTTGTCTGAGGTTTCTTAGCCTCGTTTGGCAGGCTGAGAAATGCAGGCTGAGAACGAACAGGTGCAGCTGTTCGATTCCCCTTTCCACTTTCCCACTACTCTCGTAAATCGCATTTAAGTCTTAAGGCAAAACATACGCACAAATCCTCTGCCCCTCATTTGACTCTTCGAATCGATAGTCCAAAAATCCGAGCCCCAAAAGCACAAGAACAACAACAACAACAATCCTAATCTCCATGCATATCAGTGGACGGAAGTGAGTGGCGACCGATGTGCACAATGTCCTGCAAAATGTCCTACAATGACACAATTATGGCGAACACAGTTCGGAGTCGTGGTCAGCCCTCGAGGTCAGGGGCTGTCAAAACAATCAGTGTGTGTAAATGCGATAGCATACATATATATATATATATATATATATATATATATATATATATATATATATATATATATATATATGTGTGTGTGTGCATATATAAAGATATACTCTA